TTGTATGAGGATATGGTGATTAAGGGACACGCTCCAGATGTTTATGTTTGGAATATGCTATTGAGTAGATTCACAAAGCAAGGCTGGATGGAGAATGCACTTACATTCTTTTACAGAGTTGTTAAAAGTGGTTTAGCTCCCAATGTTTGTATATTTAACACATTGCTGGACGGGTTTTGTAGATTAAAACAAATAAAGGAAGCTGTAAATCTGTATATTATGATGGCCACTCATGATATAGCTCCAGATCTAATTACATACACTTCAATCATCCAAATGATCTTTGATTTAGGGATTTATCGTGAAGCAATGGCTTTGTTCTTCCAAATGGTAAAGAAGGGATTCCTTCCCGATGTCATCACATATTGCGTTCTCATTGATGGGCTGTGCAAATACCACAAGTTGGCTGCCGGGGTACAAGTTTTCGAGGATATGGTGACAACTGGAACCAAGCCTGATATTGCCATTTACAATGTCCTCATCAATTCATATTTCAAAGATGGCAATTTGAGAAAAGCGTTGGAATTGTTCAAGTACGTCTTGGATTGTGGGCCTGATCCTGATATTGTGACTTACAACACTGTGATTTGCGGCTATTGCTCTATGAGAATGTTGGAGGAAGCCGTTCATCTCTTTGCAGAGTTAAAGAAGAAACAGACCGGTCACAACACAATCACATTAACTATATTGATTGATGCCTTCTGTAAAGAAGGGAAACTTGACGTGGCTATGTCATTATTCTCTGAAATGACAGGAAAAGGTAGAGCCCCCAATGTGGTCACATATAGCTGTTTGATGGATGGCTATTTCAAGTTGCATTCATTCAAAACAGGTTTTGAGCTTCACAAGGAGATGCTCAGTAACAATATTTCCCCAAATATCATAAGCTACACAGTTCTGATCGATGGTCTCTGTGAAAAGGGAATGACGAAAGAGGCTTTATCGGTCTTCTATTCTGCTTTGAGATGTGGGTTTTTGCCCGACGTGATAACCTATGGGGTTCTGCTCTGTGGGTTTTGCAAGTTTGGCAGGTTAGTGGATGCGAAGTCGCTGTATAACTGCATGCTTGAAGCTGGGATTAAGCAAAATAGCATGGTACGGAATATGGTTGCCAAGTACCATCTTCATTCCGTCAATGGAAGCGATTTGCCTGTCTATGAAAGGTCTTCCAGTTCCTCACCGTAGAGTTATTATACGGAGTAACAATTAAACAATTTTGTACATATACTGGAGAAGCTTTTAGGATGTCCAGAGAACGATGTACTTCCGACTATGCAAAGTCCACTTTTGACCATCCCATTATCAATTGTTTCTGTATATATTCGCAACTATTGGGTCGTTCTTCCAACTATGTGATTGGTTACTTGTTGCTCCAGTTATTGTCATTTAGAAAGTGATACAAATGTTCTACGCAAAGCCTTTCAATATTATACAAGTGAGATTGTGAGAATTGGGCACATTCTTGTACTCAGATTTTGAAATGGTCACTGCCAAGGTGTACGTCGTAGGGTTGACACTCATTCCAATTCAAGGATCTTGTAATTTAACAAAGAGCAAATATTATAAATGTGAGCACATCCAAAAAAAACAAAAACAATGTTGAAATGGTATACGTATCTATTCAAACCTCATTCCATTTATATATATAATATATATACTCCCTCCGTATTTCAAAGATCCCTATATTTGGTTATGACATAAGATTTAAGGTAGAATAGTAATGGTAATGAATAGTATAGGAGAAAAGGTGAAAAGGTAAGAAAGAGAGGATAAAAAGTAGAAAAAATAAGGGTAATTGAGTATTTTTAAAGGAAAAACTTACCAAAAAGAGAAAATGTAGGAAACTTTTAAATACGGAGGGAGTATATAGGTCAACGATAACCGTGTGAGCATAATTTAATTAGCTACAGATTTTTTTTGGATTCGACCAGGAATGGATCTTCAATCAAGGTGCTTTAGATGTATTGCTAAAACGTAACTAAAAATGGTGCCAATTTCTATCCGCAGGAGAAATATGGGTTTAAAAAATTAAACTATATGGTATGGGGCATTCCGAGAATCGAACTCGGGACCTCTCGCACCCAAAGCGAGAATCATACCACTAGACCAAATGCCCTGTTGGAAATGATGCGATTGATTTTGTTATAATACCTTTGTACGAAATCTTGAGAGCACTCATATTCTCCCAAACCTTAAAGACGTAGTGACGTACAAGATATTGTTCACACATGAATAATCTGAAACTGGATTAAAAGTAATGGAAATAGTTAAATAGTTAAGATAAAATTGCTCTTGCTAGCCAACAATTAATGCTAGTTTACTACAGATTAAATTCCCTATATAGGACCAAACCAATGGATAAATGCATAATTAGGATTTCTAGGACTAATTCTTCAAAAAAATTGTTACAAAGGATTAAACGTATACTCCGTACTCAATTGACAAAACTACCTTGAATGAAATTTCAGGTGTAATTAAAAACAAAAATAGAAAAACACCAGGAAGGTAGGAACAAAGAGTTATCACCATCTAAATCGGCTATTGACGGGACACCCAAGTGCCGCCACCATCCTCCACTAAATCACCATCTATCAATGCCTTTCGGCTAGACCACCGCCACCACCCTCCCATTTGCTTCCGCCACCCTTTTTGAAAATTCTACTTCTCGATAAGTCCCACTTTCAAATTTGATAAAAAGTTAGACATATAAATAAATGATTAAAATCTCTATTTAAAATGATACTACTAATTGGTTGGTTTTATAGGGACGGCGGTAGTGCATAATAATTACGTATTAACATATACGGAGTAATAACTAATTCCTTGTTAAGAAAAAGCGGGTAGTCGATTAGAGAGCTCTTAGAGCAGAGCCGTCGCTAGGTAATTTCCGATTTCGATCTTTCTTGATCGAAGTTCGGTCAGTGTTTCCCTAGCGAGATCTCTCGCGTAGGGTTTTTACTTCACCGTCCTGGTGCGGCGTTTCTTTCAATCGACGCAGCTCTACGCTGGATTGCTGTGGTTTGGACGTAGTTCGGGATGGATGATCGTGGGTCGTGGCAGCAAGAAGATGGTGGAAGAAGCGAGAGAGAGAGAGAGAGAGAGAGAGAGAGAGAGAGAGAGAGAGAGAGAGAGACGTGGTGATGATCGGGACATGGCTAATGTGGAGAGGTTAAACGCTCCATTTGATGGAATGGATTTGGGTCATAGTGCGGGTACTCCACTGAAAGAGGGTATCAATCGAGCGACGGTCCGACCTCCGCCTGAACCACCACCATGGGTTGTACGACGTGCTAGAGTCCGTGAGAGTTTTCTTAGTAATTTATATCTGTTTGTCATTTGTTTTCTTGTGTTAATCTTTATTGTTGGTTTTGACAATTTGTTTGAGTTTTTAGCCTCTCTTTATGTCATTGGGTATGGTTGGATCTATGAGAACGTGTTTGGTTGTGTTAAGCCCACAATATGGTTAGCGATTCGTGTTGCTCTTTCAGGGGTGACCGTTTTAAAGTCTCACCATAGGATTACAGTCGTAGTTGTTGCAATTTCAGTTGGTGTCAGTTTTATTTTCCCTTTGCTTGATGTAATGATCTTGAATCTTTTGATATGAATAGAGATCTGTTTTGATTATAAAAAAAAACATATACGGAGTAGTGGAAGCATGATCGAGAAGTAGAATTTTCAAAATCAATAAATTTCAATATCTTAAAATTACTAGCAGATTCATGAGTCACGAACTCACGACACAAAGTTCTAAGACAGTCCGGTTAGAGGGAAATAGAGTTTAGGATATAAGTTTGTTGAGAGAAAGTACAAAGGGAGTACTTCATATAAATATTCATACAAATGATACACCAGAAATACAAACTTTACAAAATGGAAATCTATTTTCTAATCAAACCATATTTTAGACTATTACAAAATGGAAATCTATCTTCATCAAGCTGCTATGAAGAAACACTTCCTACTCCTTTTACTGTTTTACCTATTGTAAACTATAACCTCAGGGAGGCCCATTCTCTTTATGTATTGAATGGCTAACCAGCTTGAAAAGGACACATATGCTACAAAGAAACAGACTCTTTTTAAACGGACTGCACTACAGTGCAAAGTAAGCCATCTGGTCATCGAGAGGTGGCGACATTTAGGCCTGAATTTCCATACAAGGCTAGCCGAGAATATGATAGCAAGGGAGGAAAAGATCCCGGTGAGCAGTCCAGCAACCACACCCAATCCCCAGGATCTTCGTAAATTTGCACCGGCAAATGCAGAATTTAATATTCTCATGAACCTGACAGAAATACCCACCTCTAGTTACATTAGGAAAAAAGATAAGAGAAAATAAACATCAGTCATCCATGGTAAAAAATTACAATAACATCCATCGGTCACAAGCAAAATCTAATTCTTGATGACCATATAAGTTTTACGCAAAAAACAAATGATGAACAAGATGATAGCTAGATGACTGGAATTAACAGAAGATCCATCACCGAGACTATTTTTTCAATACGTTTTTCTTTTTAGAAACCAAAAGATGTTTCTTTAACCCTCCATGTCCTATGGTCAGAGATTTGACTAATGAGAAGTTTGTCACTCCTGTTCTAAAGGAATCACTTTCATACCTAATGGGTTCAGACAATGTGGTGACAGAAGGTATTGCATCTTGGATAAATATTTTCTGTTTCTAAGTCAATCTGATTTGTTTTCTCATAGAACCATTTTTCAATTTTAGATACCTGACACCTTTTAACAGTAGCACAGACATTAAATGTGGAACTTATTGTCAACGTCTTTCACATATAATCCTATCTGGTTCAAAAGGAAACCTTATTCAGTACGCTGAACACCACATTCAAATTCAAATGTGTGTTTGATTCACATCTCCGGAAGATAAAAGGAGAAAGGAACCATCTTTTATTTTAATAAGGAACGTATTCCATTTTCACACTATCTTGAAGCTTTGGTAGAAGAACATGGAGCAATAAAAAACCAAACATCTATTTCTAACTATCAGGAGGGGTAATGCAAATAGGTATAGATGACAGAAGACATAAAAACTTTGTTTATCTTTCTTCAAGGGCACACAAGTTCTTGAAAAACTTAACAGGAGCAGTAAAAATTTCCAACTCTCAATCCTTTTTTATGCCAGTAAAGAACAGATAGAAAATTTCTTTCTTCAATACTCACAGGATAATATACCGAATGGACATCTCTACATTGGATGGATCTTTAGCTTGACAACCGAAAAAGCCATCTTCATATATGTCAATCTTAGAAATTCCCAACGTGTACCAGCACTTGTAAGTTTCATTAACCTGAGAAAAGGGAAGGCAAGTGTGGTAATACAAAGACACGTCATGGAAAACAAACAATCGATTAAATTCAATTAGTAAAAGTACACTCAAAAATAGTGTTTCCCTCATTGCGGTCAAAATTGAATGACTAACATCTACCTTGAATCTATCCTTTGCCAGCCAAGCAGCAATAAAATTGGGTCTACAGTCAGAGGGAAGTGCTTCACTAGGAGCTTCAGCGAACGCGAGACGCGACTGGCCCGAATGATCTATATATTCAACCTGTTTTTGGCGAGTTATTTAAAGCAAAAACACATTTATTACTCTAAGCTCAAAAATTGGCAAAATGCTTTATACAAAATCAAAAGGAAAGAACAAAATGTTGAACACGTGAGTCTTAAAGTCACATCCCAGGCAATGACAGCCATTTGAATGCCATTGAGAATATATTAAATGAAAAGAAAACTTTGATATAGAATAAGTAACATCCTTGCGTTTATCACAGCAACAATACAATGCACATGAAATGAAACATTTAAACACTTACACATTCTTTTTCTCAGAGAGGGTGGATTTTCCAAAGATCCAAAAATGATATCGAGTGTCCTATCATTCTACATCTTGATCCTCTTGGGTTCTTAGAAAATCTTTACTAAACCTTCCCAACTGCAGATACTAGGTGCAGTATGGTACAGGGTCATATTTAACCCAGAATAAACCATAGACACAGGATGCATGTAGTAGAAAGAGCATGTCAAAGAGTGACTATTATCTACTTCTAAAGTAGCAAAGCTATAAGTTGATCTTGAATCATATACTGATATACCTACTCAAATGCTCACATAGCATATGCACAATCGCACTAATATATTCTCAAGAATTAAGATGAGAGGAGTGTAGACTACCAAGAAAATATAGCATGCTATGAAAATCAGAGATAATCACCTTAAATACAGATGCCCAGTAGTAATCATAATGACATCGAAACTTCTTTATTTCATATGGGTAAAGTACATTTTTAGCTTTGTAGTTCAACAGTCCCAGTTCACATACTTTAGATGACCTAATATCCACACCTGTAGAGAAGTTTAAATGCATATTTTTCAGGTTTTACGATATTCCACAACTGCCAAAATTAAATCAACTAGTTTTTTGTTGGGGGCTGGTACATGATCAAATTATGAATGGATGCATGTTACTTTGAATGCTGTAATGAGTCTATACAGTCGCAAGCACACATAATCAAAATATACAAAAATTGAGACATTGTAGCATAAGACAGCAATGCAACCCAAGATGCTTTTCTTTTTTACTTTCTGTTAACAAGAATTTTCCATTTATACATCAATTTACAACACCCTTCTCACAGGCAAACGCTTATGTCCATACACACATAGACAAGATGTATCTGTGAGAACAAAAAAAACTGCAAGAGGAGTTCATTTGAAGAACATAACAGGCAGAAATATTCATGAAGGGAATAAAAAGGTTCATAAAATTGACAGAAAAAAATGGTGGAAGGCAAATTCAACCCAGTAGGACAGAAAAGAAAAGATTGTGATAACTTGATAAGTGTAATTGCAATGTTCTTTCACTTACACGATAAGGATATCAAAATAGCAGCACAGTAAAGGCGACCACTACAAAGTTCATTAAAATTTTAAATTCCATACAAACATACATCTCTCCATTGAACGGGTCTGAAAACTATGCATATCTTGTTAACATCTAACAAATTTTCAGAAATTCCCAACACAAAACACAATCTAACTAGCCACGTCCTATGAAGGTATAATAAGATTGGAACTTCTTGCAATAGAAATCAATGTGCTCGCGTCTAAAATGCTCTTCAATCTAGTTTCATTTCAGCTGATCCCCCCAGTTAGAATCAAAAGAACATCGAAGCCAATACTTTAAGCTCATGAAAACACCCAGACAAAATCTATATTTCCATTCAGAGCGCCAACAACTGCTCCCAAATATACCATAAGGTCACTTACTGCTAGACACTATTTTGCATCGAGATGGCAGAGAAATTGGATTCCAAATCGGTAAACTCTCTATATACACAGCAGAACAAAGCAAGAAGATGAGCAGGAGGAAGAACCCCAGTACAAATAGTACACGCCCCAAACAGCTCCGCAATAATCGAAAATTAGAAGTCTCCTCCTCTTCACTGTTGTCATTCGGCTCAGTCGAATTCATGATATTTCCTTATTAATTTAAACAGTTCAGGAATTAATTCCGGTCGCCGGATGTTTCATCCGATTATAGGAATTCGGTATGAGAGAAGGATTGGGGTAAGGGGATGGAGTAAAAAACATTTTTGAAGTTATGACGAATGAAGTACAAACGGTAAACATACTAAACTACTCGATGAGTCCATGAAACAAAAAATACACACAAGCTATTTGAATTTTTTTTAAAGGAAGAGAAAGCTATTTGAATTCATCACCTTTTTACTAATATAGAGAAAATATATTACACGATATGAAGACAATTAGTACAGATTTAATGGTAAGCTCTAAAAATAGACATAAAGTTAACAACTCTTACAAATTAATATGATTCGATAGACAGAAAGCAGACAAGATTAAACCTAAAAATGAACTAAATAAAGCATGGTTTATCAAAAGTTCTTCAAAAATCAAAATACTCCAACTATACATGTTCGAACCGAAAAAAAAATACTATTAAAAGAAAAATAATATGAAAATAAAAAATTTCCTCAAATTGCTTACTCGCACGGAGGTGATTCTGAAGAAGGACGAGTTGCTGCACTATGGGTGAAGGCTAACTCCCTCTTTCGAATTTCTTTTTCAGTGAAGAGAATTTCGATCTTGGAAAATTCGTCTGAAACTCTATTCTCCTTGCATTAACAATCGCATCTTTAAGCACAAGACTCTCCTCTTCATTCTCCATAGTTAACATGTAGCACTGCTATTCAAGCTTCTCCATTGAAATATCAAAGTCTGTGTGCGAACTCGTTGCCTTGTTCGGCGTTTCGCCTGAAAAAGGACGGATCCAGGATTTTGTTGGTTAGGGTGTAAATTTTTTTGCTACTGTAGCGGGGTGAATTTTTTCACTAATGTAAGACTCAACGGCTATATTTATTCAAAAAAATCATTAATACACACACGACGACATTTAAATGTATGTATAACATTTTAAGTTCAAACAATGACAAATAACTTTAACATTATAATTGAAGTGGTCTAGAAAAAAGTATTGATACATTAAAAAATAAGAAATGACAAATCAAAAGAAAATAATTTGAAAATAAATATGATATAATACATTTTATTTGAAGATAAAGAGTTTATAAGGTACACATTCACTAATACTTTCAAAGTAACTTCTACATTGTTTAACTACATGAATCTTATAGAAATAAAAAGAATTGGTTATTGAATTACAATTTTGTCAACCAAGGGGGGTGTTCATGAGTCACATAAACTTTTCTTAATATTACAATATTATGATTTTTAGAATAATATTATATTGTTAATTCATAAATATAGTGCATATTATATTTGTATTAATGCTAAAATAAGTTAAAGCTTATTATCTATGCAATAAAGTCTTTTGAAAACGTAAGAAAGAAGTAAATGAATTGTGTAATTTAATGTCAATAAGTATTTATATTTTGGATTCACTTCACATGATCTAAAAACTATGTAACTAGTGTGTCTCGTATTTAATATCATTTGGTATATGTTTTACAAAATCTAGTACTAGTTTTCTAATAAAGACAATTAAACATTACAAAACTAAAAAAATTATATAATAAGTATCCTGAATCTTAAACAACGAGTTGTTCTATTGTTTATTTATTTAAGTTATGTAAATTATTTTATATGTTCCTTCTTTTAAATCTGTAATTAAGTATTACATTGTGTAAGATTATATATTAATTTTGAAAACTAAGAGTTAAGAGGGGCAAATCTAATTAAAGTATGAAAATTTTACGAAAGTATTGCATATATAGTAAAAAAAAAAAACTGAAAGTCCAAGGGGGGCGGTCGCCCCCCCCCCCCCCTAAATCCATCCCTACGCCTGATAAACCTAGTAGTCAAACAAATTGTCGGCTACAAGCGTTAAACTCCACCAGAAAAACAAACTCTAGAAAACCGCAGGAAACATATTAAATATTGACAACATAAATTCTACATTTTCGAACATTCGGTGGTATTTGATAGTACTCCATATTTAACTTCTGCCAGTTCTACATATTTGATAGTACTACTACAGATTTAACTTGTGCCAGTTCTTCAATTCCTTTGGAATAGGCAAAACCATATTGATCATATTGAAGGAGAGAACTAATAACTTAACTTAAGGGAAATTACCCTAAATAAGACTAAAAACGTTTGAAAATTTCAAAATAGGACTGCCATGTTTTTATTCCCAAAATAGGACTAATTACTGCCATGTTTTTAGTCCCAAAACAGGACTAATTACTGCCATGTTTTGGCAGTACCGGGCTTTAAAGATGGCAGTATTTTCCAAACTTGACAGTAATTACTCTTATTTTAGGAATAAAAATATGATAGTCCTATTTTGGAATTTTCAAACCTTTTTAGTCTTATTTTGGGAATTTTCCCATAACTTAATAAGTACGGAGTATCATAATACTCCCTAGACCCAATTCCCTAATACATGAGGCAATTATGTATACTCGAAAAGATAGAAAAAGTAGGTGCGTTTAGCGGTTTAGATCCTACATTTCCCACGATAAGTCCCGTGTTATGTGTGTTAATGTACTCGCGGGCGGATCGCGGACCTATAGTTGTTTAAAAAATTAAAAATGTTCAGGTGAATAGTCAAAATTTTTAACTAATGGTATCGAGTACTAGTGTTGAAATTTATATATGTATATGAACACTCAAAACTCATAAAAATCAACGTACAAAATAAATTATATACTCTGTATTTACATTTATGTATATATATGTGTGTCAAATTGTGCCCTTCGTAGAGAAACGTAAAAATTTAAGTTACACTATTTATTCACTATAAAATAAAAAATCGATCACAACATATCAGACAAATAAGTATATATGGAGTACTTATTCCACATTATGACTAGTTTACATTTAAGAAATTGTTCCAAATATAACTAAAACGTACACAAAATGTACAAATAGGATTCTTTATGTTCTACATTCACTACTAAAAAGATGTTATTTACCTATATCCTTTGCTACGAATTTTACTTCAAAATTCGCAGGTAAATATGTTTGTTGTGAATTTCACTATAAATTATGATTCATAGGTAATATGCTCGTGGATAATACATTGCTGCAAATTTTAAATCCGCAACTAGTTTGCTTCAGATTTTTTCATGGAAAATGATAAAAATGTGCAAGTAATTTGTGTAGTTTGATAGCTGAAGTGAGTAAATTGGGAGGAATTTTCCTGCGATTTTTTATACGATAATTGTCGTGGAAACTATTCGCAAGAAATTGTGTATGTATCATTTGCAACTAAAATTGCAGGTGCTTTTTTGTAGTTGGAACTGCAGCTACTTTTTTCATGTAAATCCCTGAACATATTGATTTCATAGCTAAATATGTAGAAAAAATAGTAGCAGAGTACATAGCTGAAACTTTCCATTACAAATATCTCAGCAAAATCTGTTCCAGAAATACACACCCATAACAAGACCTATTCCAGGAATTATCACAATTTAATAGATGTTTTAGAAGCCTTGGAGTTCATGATATTACTCATATCCAGCTCCTAATATTATATATTTCCAACAAACTATCAAGTAAATATGCAATTCAACAAATTCAACTTTGAAAATAAAATTCACTCTTAAGGTATCCAAAACTAAAGTTCTAAGATTAGAATTCAATTATATTGGAGGAGTCATGTGAAACTAAAAAGCTACCAATTGTCCCTCAAAAGTCTTCAGATGCACTATCTTCATCCTCTTCTTCATCCTCTTCCTCATCCTCTTCTTCATCACTTGAGTCATCATTTGCATGTGTAGGCTGTGAGCGAGAAGAACTTGCATTAAATCCTAACTTCTCCATTAAAAGATTCAATGTATTCTTTGTGTCAGCCAATTCCTTCTTCATTTGTTCTTTCTCTTGCTTCTCTTTTTCAAGTTGTGCTTGCAAAGATGTATTAAGTAAATGAACTTCAGTTCTTATCCTTTCCTGGACCTCTTCGGATATGGGCTCCTGTGGTGCTCCAAAAGACAAACGCTTGATTGACCTGCCCAACGAACCAAAACCTCGAATGCTACTGTTGTTTTGTCCTCCCACCGTATGTCCGTATCTATCTAAATATTGAAATTTGATGGCGTATGGTGTAGTTGTGAAGCATCATCTCCAGAAACACTTTCACTATCAATGGTTCTTTGTGAAGACATTTCAACCATTTTCTTTTCAAAGTTCTCCTACAAGTAATAAACATAAATATGCCATCGGATTTCAGAAGAGTCAATTACCAGTTCCTATTTACACCAAAAGTTATACAACATGTACATGAGTACGTATCAGACAGTCCATATTATTTAGCTATTTAACTAGACGAATAATATTAACTTACATAATCACTTTGAGCTTTTGGATGTACCCACTCATTACACTTCTTCTTCTTGTGTGCACGAAAATAAAACTCAGAAAATGTTGGATCGTTTCCATTTCTTTCACCCCCAAAATAGTCAAAAATAGCTGCTATTTATAACAACAACACAAAAGAAATTGCTGTAATTTTAGGAAGAAGTAGTATGAGTGGACAAAAGTATCTCTGCCTCTCTCATATTCCTACATGTTCCAGTTTTGTTCAGGAACTGTCAAATACTTAATATATAAAGCATTAAACATCTTAATAACATGATTATTTTAATTTAAAATTAACAAATAGTATTGTTTATATTACAGATATCCCATTGTTTGTCCTTTGTATTTGGAAGTAATGGTTTAGCTAATGATGAGGTCAATCTGATGGTGAGGTTATAAATAATTAATACATACAAGGCACATACTACGTAAACTTACATGCTCTTATTTTAAAAAATCATGTAAACTTTAGAGAGGACTGAATTCATCACTTGGAACTAGCAATTTAGCAAACGAAGATATGATGGTGAGGTGGAAAAATCATATTTGCTTACAAGCCAGACTATATTAGTGATAATTAATAATAGCATTACACATATTAGACCTAACTAATTCAATCGAATACACATAATAGACCTAACTAATTCAATCGAATACACATAATAGACCTAAC